TTCTGACGATTCATATTTCTGTTACTATTTCTGCTATATTTCTGTTTAATAAGAAAATTTTTCCTTCTAATTCTTTTTACCGACCGTATTGTGTAAACAATAGGTAGGTTATGTGATGGCAACAAATTTTGCATATCGAGTTTTCGGTGGGAACGTACTTCTCCATAGTAGGGAAGTGTAAATAAACTATTTTTAGCAACCTGTCGGTCTGTCGGTCTGTCGATCTGTCGGTCTGTCGGTCTGTGTGTGCACGCGTGTATCTCAAGTTCGGCTGAACTGATTATGATGAAATTTTATATGTAAGTTTATTTCCACCATGGCACGGATTGATCAACTTTTGGTATATATCAGGCCTCGGAAACTGCACTTTTTAGCGGGCCTGTTTTACATTTTTGAACATTTTGAAGAACATATTCAACCGATTTACTTGAAATTTCATATATAAGTTTTGCTCTACCGGCGATGAAACCTCCTAACTTTTGGAAGAAATCAGGCGTCAGCAACTGGACGTTTACTACGGGCCAAATATACATTTTTATGTACATATATAAAGAGAAATAATCAACCGATTTCATTGAAATTTAATATATGAATTCCTCGTATGAAAACTATGAACATATAAATTTTTTGCAAAGATCAGGGCTCGAAAACTGATTTGCGGGCCGATTTTACATTTTTCACCATTTTGAAGAAAATATTCAACCGATTTACTTGAAATTCCATATATGGACTTTTACTACGGGCCAAATATGCATTTTTGTGTATATAAAGAGAAATAATCAACCGATTTCATTGAAATTTAATATTTGAGTTCCTCGTATTAAAACAATGAACATGTAAATTTTTTGGAGAGATCAGGCATCGGCAACTAGACGTTTACTACGGGCTAAACATACACTTTTGTGTATATAAAGAGAAATAATCAACCGATTTCATTGAAATTTAATATATGAATTCCTCGTATGAAAACTATGAACATATCAATTTTCTGGAAAGATCAGGGCTCGAAAACTGATTTGCGGGCCGATTTTACATTTTTCACCATTTTGAAGAAAATATTCAACCGATTTACTTGAAATTACATATTTGAGCTTTGCTCGACCGCCCGCGAAAATTCCTAACTTTTGGAACAAATCAGGCATCAGCAACTGGACGTTCACTACGGGCCAAATATACATTTTTGTGTATATAAAGAGAAATAATCCACCGATTTCATTGAAATTTAATATTTAAATTCCTCGTATTAAAACAATGAACATGTAATGTTTTTGGAAAGATCAGGGCTCGAAAACTGATCTGCGCGCCGATTTTACATTTTTCACCATATCCACAGAACAAATTGATGGAATTTCTTAAAGTTGATATTTGAGTTCTGGTTGTTACCGAAACTAACTGGTTAGCATTTCAGGGAATTCGGGTAGCACAAAGCGAAACTCTACTAAGAGCCAAATTTACATTTTTCTAGGTATGTTAACTATAAGCTTACTAATGTCCTAAAAATTGGAAAGAAGTATTTAGCAGACATTTTTATAATATTCTGTAACACTTTCACTTAAGTAGACAATACACATTGCGGTCGGTTATGTGCTGACCACATCAGATTTTTTTTAGTCACTTATTATTGAACTGTTTAGATGTTGGCAAGGTTTCTCTTGTTTCTTTCGTTACAACAAAAGTCTCAAAACTTTTTAGTAAATTTTCTAATAAAATAATTACTATTAACTCATCTCTTAAAACTATATCGACTTTATTCAATTGCTCCATCATTCTAAAGAAGCATCTATGTGGTCATTTTCTAGTTAATTAATTGTTTAAATAAATTTACTTTTCTGCTTGGCCCCTTAGGACGATGTGTTTCATACAACTTATTCTAAGCTTCATTGGAAGTTCTACAATTTTTTTGCATGTACAATTTGGCTTTATTTTAAACCCATAATCAACGTTGCCAACGCATTTTATCAAGTTTTAGCATTTTTATCATCTCTAGTTTTTTCTGCGCTTACGTATCCCTATTTTAATTATCTTCTAATACTGCGTTTGGCCTCTGGGCTCATAACCTTTGTTAGAGTAAGAAAAACGCATATGGATAAAATTGCCATTTTTTGTTTAATTCATGTGTCTACTGTTTACGAGTCCGTTTACAATAGAACAGGAAACGGAAAAACTTAATGGTTAATATACATATGCAAATCATAAAATGACATTTCAGTATATCAAATATTTGCAAAGATATCGACAATGTTATTTCCGGCAGGATTGAACTTTTCAACAAAAACCTTTTAATGGAAAAATTTTTTTGGCGATAAAAAATTCCAAAAACAAAATTTAGAACTTTTTAAAAAAACTTTCAAAATTAAATAGTATCAAACCTAATTAAAATTGTAAATTCTCATTTAATAATATTAATTTTTAGTAATTAGAAAAATTAGTTGTAAGTCATTAGTAACTAATTTTTTAAAATACCAGTTTCGCATAACATACTTATATCCTCACAAATTAATTGTCGAAGGGATTCCTAAATTTAGCGTTTGTAACTCTATAAATCCGTCTCCGTTTGTAACTCTGTAAAATATACTTCTGACATATAGGCATGCGCACACATATATATTTGTAATCAGCGCTTAATTCTGAGTCAATTTAGCTATATTTGTCCGTTTGTTCAAGCGGTAACTCAAAAACCAATTGAACAAAAAAAAATTTCTACAAATTAGAAAGAGTTCTTACCGCAAAAACGCTATTTAGAGTAACTGTCTTTCAGCTCCAAAAATAATTTGTTTATATCTAGGATACTATAAAACCTATAGTACTCAAATTCTGCATAAACAACGTTGGTGCTAGAAACGTTATTTAAATAAAATTAAAATGTAATTGTATAATTTCTTTCGAAAGTTGCCAGAACGTATAAAAATTAATTTTGTCATTCAAAAGCCTTTTCAAAGACAATTCTCAAATTTTCCTCAATGACGTTTAAAACAACGGTTTCATATCTATATATTCACGTCAAAGTTAACTTTAAATAATAATATTATTAAGTTACAACCACACATCCCATCGTAAATATTTCACTAAAACTATAAAATAAATCTTAATTCATTTTTGAATATTTTAATGAAATTTTGTTTTTGATTGGAATGCACAGTTGTTACTCCAAAACGTAATTCGTTTAATATACACTGATGTTATTGTCCCTTAACTTTACTTTCATTGCTACTTTATTTTCATTGTCCAAGTATCTTCCACAAATAGCTGTTAGTTTGTACATGCTAAGTGAACAAATAGCTATTCAAGTGAATCCTATTGAATTTTCCAAAAAAAAACGCATTTTTTATACCCGTACGAACATGTGTTCGAAGGGTATACTTAATTTGCCTTACCGCTTGCAACGCTAAGAAATAATGGTTTGAGATATAGACTCAAGTGTGTGTTTTCATCAGTCCGTCCACCCCAACGATAACTCAAAAACTAATTGAGCTAAGTTTACCAAATTCTCACAAATGATTTATTGTAGTAAGTGCGAGAACCTTATTTGAATTGGACATGATCGGGGTACTGGTTCGAGGAGCTGTCATACAACTTCAAAAATTATTAAATCTCGTGAAAACAAGTGTACTATTAGGGCTGTTACATGTGATAAAAATCATTGAAATTTCTTCAGTCGCTTCTCATAGAAAATATTGAAAACACAATACTGAAATTTGACATAAATTAATATGGTAATACGGCAGCTTAAAGTCATTGTCCGTCCCAATATGCCATAGTCAGCATATTTATTCTCTCATAGGATAACAAATTACAGGGTAGTACAGAGTTGACCCGATCAACTCTATTTTTTCTTGTTTCATATAAAATGGAGCAACCCATGACTGTCATAGTTTTCTAATATTTTAAATTTTCATTAAACTTAATCTGAGGTCCAAATGCGTTACACATTAGATTTTCAGGTTTAATCTTAAATCGATTCTGATGTGTACGGATCAAATAAAAATCGTGAAAATCAATAAATAAAATAAGATGTAAATCATGAGAATGCAAATTTTTATTTCATATTTTTCATCTAACTAGCTATATATATATGTACGTTTTTAAATTATTTACATTATATTAAAAGTTTCTTATTATATTGAATTTATACATATATGAAAAAGTTTAGCCTTTTATTTAGTAATGCATACGTATATGTATGTATGTAGTACTTTAGAAAGAATAAAAAAAATTAAAAAAAAATTACTTTACAATACGAAACCTTAAGTAAGCAAATCATAACTTAACTTCATTTAAATAATAATTCATTTTAATAAGTTTGAAGCAAAATCATAATTTACAAATTTATAGAACAACCAAAGTCTATGAATTTTAAACCAGAAACATTTTAACCGTTCTTTATTTTAACTAGCGTTCATCTCTTTATTTTGGTCAATTTAACCTATGTATATGTGCATTTTAACTCTTGCAATTTTTTTTCAATTTTTTCCAATACTGACTAATTGTTGTGCTAAAAATTATTTAAGTTTTTGGAGCATAGTTCATATAACATTATCTAATTTTTCATTTTACTTATTTAAATGAGAATGTGGATTTCTATATTTCTTTGCACAATACTTTATTTTCCGAAAACTTTAAGTATGCAAATTTTCTACTTCCTTTCCTATAAAACTGATGAATCACTCATTAATATATTTTAAAAGATTGCTGAAAATACAGATAATATTATTAACATTTTGTCCTCTTTTAAACAAAAATATTTCCAGTGAAATAAGCTTAAAACTTTTGTCAACGAATGTGACAACAACGTAAGAAAGCTAAACTTGAAAGGATGGTAATCAGAAGTGACCAATTGGAATTTCTTCGTCTATATAAAACGTATGTTTGCAAAATGCATATGTAAATAGCATACACTAAACATAACATAAGAGTTAAAAGATGAGCAAAAACGTAAGTTCTAAAAAAACATCGAAATCAAAAGAAGAAGTCAGATATTTTTAATAAAATGTAAATAAGTAAGTACTGACAATTTTGAATCCGGCTTCGTTAATGTAAAAATGAGCAGATATTTTTAGAAACCGTTTTAGTTCAATTCTTGTGTATAATGTAGAAATTTAAAACAGATAATTTGATAAAAATGCAACATTCGAAAGCTACAATGCATCGTTTGCGTACGACATTTACAAGATCACGGACACCAACTGGAAATGAAATGAAAGCTCAAGATAGTCTAGAAGTACCTAAGCAGGTGTGATATTTTAATTTGCATTGCAACCAAATTATTATACATAATTATGTACATATGTATGTATGTATGTTATTACTTATTAAATATTATTCAGATGAAATTTTACCTTCAAACCGAATAATATTTTTTATTTTTTCTTTATTTCATGCATTATTGAGTTGTATGCGTCCCTTTTTTAGCACTTTTCCAAAAATTTTTTGAAAAAAAGTGCTTATTAATTTCACTCTGTCCGTCTGTCCGTCTGTCCGTGTGTCTGTTTACAAAACTTCTACATTCTTAAAGATAGAAAGCCGAAATTTAATACGTACATAGATCTTTACTAGAAACTTATTTTCGTGGAACAAAATTTTTACCTATCTCCCCCCTTTAGAAGTTATACCCCCCAAAAACACTAAAAATGGCCTATTTTAACTATTTGTTGCAATGAAACCATAAGCATTTTTGAAATTTTGCAAACGCAGAAAGGCAGTGGCTTGCTTCCCCTAGCGCGGTATACTACAGTTAAACTTTAGAAAAACAAAATGGCCGTTCAAATTTACCGTTATATAAAGTCCTTTTTTTCCAAATTTTTGATGTCATTTTTCTTCAAGACCCCAGCCTGTAGAAGCTTGAAATTTTAGAAGCTTTTAGACATTAACAAATAGTTCATTTCGTTAAAAGAAAAGTTTTTTCCATCTCCACCCCCTCTCAAGTTATCACCTCTTGAAATTTGTAAAATTCTAATTTTTAACACCTTATATTTCCGAAACCCCAAGCTTTTTCAAATTTCTATAAATGCAAAAAGCTAACGGTAAATTCAATGACATTAAAAAATATATTTATTTTTCTTAACTCACACAATTAACCCTTAACATCGAGCATTATGTTAACCCCTCTTCATATTAATTTTTGCTTTATTTCAAAGACTGCATATACGTATATGTATCATCCTAAATATATGCAATCCTAGAAATAGTATCGTTTATGAATGAAAATAATTTTAATAGTGTGGTAGATATACGTAGAGTGTTTTTAAAAGCAGTATTTTAACTTGTTGAAGGGAAAAGTGCTACAACACAAACCATTGGTTTGACCCAACTTTATTTTAAATGTGTTTGAAGTAAAGAAATTTGAGAGCAAAAATCAAAATCAAGGAAATTTAGCAATCTTGTAATACTGTTTTAATGCTTCACATAAAAATAAAAGGATTGCAAATTTCGTAGCAATAAAAAATATATAAAGAAATATATTAAGTTAAAATACAATAATTTTTCATTTACAATTAACAAAAAGACAAAAATTTATACAAGCATTTAAAAGTATGAAATTATTTGTTTAATTATTTCTATCCGTCTTACTATGGTTTTAATAATTTTACAATGTTTTATCTTAGAGGAAGAGTTTTTTAACAAAAACACCTTGGGCCTTACTTTGTAGTTCGATTTTCGTATATACAGAAATGGAAATGTAGTGCTATATAAATTTATTGGTACTACAAAAATTGAATTGCATAGTAAGGTCTCTGGTTAAAGTTTTTCCATATTTTTGCGGTATTCAAAATAACATAAATTTTCAAATTTAGAAAGAAGAATCATTAAAGATAAATAAGAAAATAATCAATGAAAAACTTTAGTATAATACTTAATCAACAGTATAATACTTAATACGGAATCAACTATTAGTATAATACATTCTAACTGCTTAAATATCCCAGAAAAATTGAAAAAGTCAATTATGTCTTCTACAACTAGAGGATCTAATTTGGTAATGAATAAATTAGTTCCTTATTTCCAGTAGAATTACAAAAAAGAACATATATTTCTATAATAGGTTAATATAGTTCTATAATAGGCTTGGGAAGTCTGAGAGCAAAATTAATTTAGAAAAATATTTCATCGAAATAAGTGGAAAAAGAATACCATTTATTGACAATAAGTGAGTTTTTGAAATTGAAAAAATATTGAACATTGAAATTACGAAATCTTGCATGCAATGGTTTAAAAATTTTGGTTTAAATCACCCTAATTAAGAAGAAATGAAAGGCAGATGATTTTGAAAAACAACTATTCGCATTTACTTTTTAAAGAAGGCGATCAATTAGCCGCCTTTAACGAACTGATGCACGAAATTAAAACTTAATGCAAAGACATATAGATTCGTAAGAATCCGCGAAAAAGAAATGAATATAGGAAATTAAAAGAACTGGAAAGGCAAAATATAATTCAGAAAAGTAATTCTGGATATATAATCCTTTATGAATAGATTCAAAAAATTAAATAATTCAGGAAGAAAAAAATTTACAATAGTTATATGTAGATTACAGAAAATTAAATAAACTTTTAATAGGTAAAGGTTTCATATACCTAACTTGGATGACATAGTATGTAAACAAGGTAGAGCCCAATATTTTACCACATTCGATTTAGAGAAGGGTTTACACGAAATTATTGTCAAACCACAAGATAGGGAAAAGGACGTATTTCAAAATCCGTAAGATTTACTTAGGGAATTTCCAAATAAAATATTCGTAGTTTACCTCAACGATATTATAATATTTAGTGCAACTCTTACGGAACACATAAGAAAACTTTTAAATAAACTCACGAAGAAAGGATTAGAAATCCAAATGGATAAATGCAATTTCATGAAAAAAGAGATTTAATTCTTAGGTCATATTTTAACTTTAGAGGGAATAAAATCAAATCACAACAAAATAAAAGTATAAAGAGAATTAAAAATACAGGTTAGAGAATTTAAAATACAATAGAATAACAGGTTATTATAGGAAATTCGTAAGAGATTATGCAAAAGTAGCTAAGCCATAACAAAAAACTTAAAGATAGACACTAGAATCAACGCTAACAACCCAAAGCATATTAATGCTTTCGAAAAACTTAAGTATTTGATAACGGAACATCCACTTCTTAGATGCAAAAGTAGCTAAGCTATATACCAAAAAATTTAAAGAAAGACGCTAGAATCAATGCTAACAACCCGAAATATATTAATGCTTTCGAAAAACTTAAATATTTGATAACGGAACATCCACTTCTTAAATACCCAAGAGCTGTTTTTTCTCAGGAGGGACACCCTATTTGTTATTCTTTTTGGACGCTCAATGATTTTGAAAAAAAAAAACTATTCTACTAAGGACGAAAAACTTCAAGCGTTAGTTTGGACAGCAACTATTTTCGACCGTACCTTTACGATAGAAAATTTAATACTTTCACAGATCATCGTTCAACCGTTGATATATCTACTCGTTAAATATAAAGGAAGGACTTTAACCCCAAACATCAAAGATGGTTATTAAAGCTAAGCAAATGCAAAAAAAAAATTAATGTATTAAGGGGCTAATAACAACAACGAAGATTTAAACGACTATATACAAATATTAGAAACTATAGTTAACCAATTCAAAACGGTTTAACAATTCAAAAACAGTTTTCAATAATAAAATTGCCGAAATCTCTGAAAAAGTCGACAGTTAATGGCGGTAATAACCAGAATTTAAATATCAAATTTTAAAAAATTCCACAAATCCGTAGATATGGTAAAAAATGGAAAATCGGCTACCAATTTAGCTTCCGAGTCCTGATCTTTCCAAAAAATTTACAGATTCAGTTTCTTAACATTACGAATTTAAATATTAAATTTCAAGGAAATTTGTTGATTATTTCTCTTTATATATGAAAAATGTGTAATGGGCTCCCAAAAAGGTCCAGTATATATTCTAAAAGTTGATCAATCCGTACCATAGACAAAATAAATTCATACATAAAATTTCATCAAAATCGGTTCAGCAAAACTTGAGATACACAGATCGACATCTCTCTAAAAGTAGTTTATTTACGCAAATTTTAAATATCGAAAACTCCGATATTTACAATTTTGAGTGACAATGGGTTTAAGGACTTGTTCATTTCACTTCTTCATGAATCAGGTCATTGAAATCCATTAAACCAAACAGTCACACAGGTACTCGTAACTCTAATGTATAAAACTTACTAGTACCATCACAGAAATAATTAGGACTCTCAATATAGATAATAAGCTACCTTTGAAAGAACAAATCTCTAAAGAGATTTAATTTTATAACAAAAATTATCATTCATCAGTGAAAAGTACGTCTTTAGAAGCTCAGGAGGAGAGAGTAAAAAAAATAAATTATATAATATTTTACTCAAGCATAAAACTAAAAGAAATAACAAAATTAATAGGAACAGAGAAGATTATGAAGGAAAACATGGGATTGGTTTTATCACGAATTATGCTAGTTCTAAACACAAACAAAAACTTAAATTTGGAAAGACATTTAAAATTTTCAGACGATACCGATAATAATAATGTTGACGTGCATTGACGTTGTTCACACCAACTACCAAGAAACAAAAACAATAAACGAGCTAGAAACATCGTATTTATAAAAATAATTGTAAATTGATTAAAAATAATTTAATAGAAATACGATAATAGATGAATAAATTATAATAATAAAAATGCAATAAATATAACTTTAAAACAAACAATTGATAATAGGAACATCATACTAACAAATAATATTTTAACACATTTTGATAACTTTACTTCTTAATCAAGCATTTTCAAATGTAGTAGAAAAAAAAAAGAAAAAATCTGCTATTCTATCAATATAATAAATAACTTTACAGATAAAATAACTTTTGAAGATTTTTTACATTATACAAAGAATTTGGAAGAAATTAAGTAGGCAAAAGTTTATGAAAAAACAGAACCAATAGCAACCAATCTTAATAAATTTAAGTAAATTAATAACTTTATTTTTGAAATTTGTATTAATAAAAGTTTGAATAATAAATAAAAAAATCTGATGTAGTCAGTACATAACCGACCGCAATGTACATATATTGTCTAGATTGGCAAAATTGAATTGTCTGGACAGGGCTACTGAAAATGCGTTTTAAACACTTCCTTATAATTTTAAGGACACTAAAAAAGTTTTAGTTGACATACCTAGAAAAATGTGAATTTGGCTCTTAGTA